TTTTGAGGTTGTTTGTGGCGTCTGTTCCTCAGAATATTACCTGACTCTATCATATGCTTCTCTACAACGGAAATCGCAGGCGAGCTCGACATTGTGCATGTTTCCCGTTGTCCTTTGGGTGCAGCAATAACTGTTCAAAGTTGTTGTTAACGGTGACAGTCGCTGTGCTAGCTGATCTGTGCGTTGTCTGTGCGGTTCATCATGTTATCTTGTGAGCAACAATTCTACGGTTTTAGTATGCTTATATATCTGTGTGTGTGCGTGTGTGTGTGTGTGTGTGTGTGTATGTGTGTATGTATGTGTTTGTCTTTTAAGCGCATATTTTAACTGGTTGAAATGATTGCAACCAAAAACAGATTTATCATTTCTAGTAAATTCTAACTTGTTGTGATGTGCTGTAATTGATGCCTTTTCAACCCGGGTTTTCTTCTCTAAGTGGCCTTACTCTGTGGCAGATACCCACATTCACTGGTTTGCTTGGTGAGCCGATTCCTGGCGGTGTAGGCCGAACTGTTATAACAGACACTCCTGGTGTGAGACGGTGATGCCTTCTTTCGATTATACACATCATACTGTTCAGATTGAAAATGTGTAGAGGAGGAGGAGGACGGAATTCCCTTTCTCAGTTCTGAGTGCATAGGGTGGTTGTGAATGATAACTGATTGACCGACGAGTACTGAGCCGAGATGAAAAGTAATATATTCAGCTGGGAGGATTATTGCTGGAAATGGACATCTACAGGCTTTACAGTACCGAGTATTCCGGATACCTGGCTGACGGTAGCACAACACGTGTCCGGTAGGATCCCCGTTTTTTCCCAGTCTTTGCTGCGATGGAATTATTTTTGAGATTATTTCGTGTATGCTCCGAGCATTCCTACTCATCACTCTTTTACTGCTGCTGAGGTCGCTTTTGCAAAATACACTTATTCAAGGTAGCTGCGTTCATCCGTTGCAGCAGTATCATGGGTTAGTTGGTGACACCATTAGCCCTACTTCCAGATCTTTTTTTTATGTGCCTGCCTGTCTTTCTGCGTAGGCATCTTCAGGTGCTCTGGGCATTTTTTTGTCTCACGATTGTACTGTTCCGTTTTGCAGAAATTTGCTGCTCTATTATGACAGTGATATATTTTGCAGCTGTTTCTACTTTGTAGTCACATTTAAATTTCACATTTCAAATCTTTTCTTAGCTTGTTTTCCTGCTTTTTTTTATCGTTTTTATAACTGCGCTCTTCTAATGCTAGGGAGCGGAGTTCAGGTTTTGCCAGTGGAACAACCAGTCCCTTCACGATTCGTCGGTGTTGAAGTGGTACTGGCGCCGCATGCCAGCCAGGGAGTTAAATTCGCCATCAGCTTGCTGTTGAGCATCCTTCAAAGAGGAAGCCCTGGTAGT